AGTGGCCCAGACCAGGAAGCAAATGAAGCCAAAAAGAAAGACCAGACCAGGCCACACCGCACCGGCTCACTCATTTTTATCAAAACCAAAATCATACAAAATTTGACAGAAAATTACACGACTTAATGCCGCCCACTTGCCGCGAGGAAAACAGCAGCGCAGCTTTGGGGGGAAAACTGGGAAAAACGAAAAGGAAAAGCGAGCAGGGGGCTGGAATTGAAATTAGTCAAAATTTGACTCGGGTTAGACAAATGGCCAGCGCGAATTTCAAGCGAAAAAATATCAAGAGGAAAACACTAGCCACCAACGTTTGCTTTTTTCAGCGTTTTCTGGCGATAATTATGAGTAATTTATTTAATGATGATTTGCATTGCGGACAAAACGTAAACAACGAAACGGAAAAGCTGGAAAAACTGTTTTCCACTTGTTTGTTCGCTGGCTTTTTTTGGCGGTCTCTGGCCCGCTCCTTGATAATTGCAGTTCATTTGCAGTTTTGTGGGTCGGTTGATATATGGCCAAAACTGTGAGTGAGTTTGAGCTGGCCAGTCGTTTTGTCGTGCACTTTTTTTATGGCGCTCATCAATTATGCTGAACGAACGCCTCGGAGTTGCACACACAATATGCCATTTTTTAATATTAAACCACTCCTTCCCTTTGGCAAATAAAAAATAAAAATGCAGACACACCTAATGGCCATAAAACTTTAACGACGCAACAAAACGAAAGGAGACTTCAAAGGCCAAAGATGAAAACAATAGTGCCAGAAAATCTTGTAAAAGAATTGGCCATAAAGATAGTGTTAAAGGTTAATAAATGCTCATAAACTTAAATGAAAAGAAAGTAAAAGTTTTTCTAATAATCGAATCAATCTTTTCGTCTGGTTTATTGGACTGAAATGAAAAAATGTCAGACCAGTTTCAATCAGCCAAATGCAACAGCCAACAAGCAAATAAACAAGAAATCGTTTTGTGTTTTGTGTTTAAAAGATTTTCAGCCTCAATGTTGGTTTGGGTCATATCTTTTCCTGTTCTGTTCTGTTTGTTTGCTGTTGTTTAAGCAAACAATGCGTGCCGTTGTTTGTTGGCAACAAATTGAACATTTACATTAGATTTTCTTTTTCCCCAACCGTAGGGGGACAGGGCTACAAGGCCAGTGGGTGGAAGGATGTCGAGGAAGGGGGGAAAATCCTGTGAACATTCAATTGTAATGCCCAGGAGAGTGATTCAATTGAATTTGTTTGTTTTAGTATACGGTTCATTTATTTGCAGAACCGAATGAATAACAGCACTCCCCATGCCGGCGCACTTTTCCTAAATGTTCGGAAAAATCTTTCGTGTGTAATTTGAACTTTTGCGGAACTTCCGGTCAAATGGTGAAGGCTTCTTCGTGCTCCCCCTCCTCATAACATATGCCATATGTATTGTTCAAGTGCAGATCCGAGTAGTGCTTATGTATTTCAGGTGTGTGTGTTCGTGTGTGTGAAAGTTTCTCAAGGAAAGTTTCCTGCTCCTGCCATTCTCCCCGGGGACCTCTTAAGATTTCATTGTGTAAATTTACTGCGGCCTTCTTTGTCCTCTCAGCCTGCATACAAAAAAGAAAAGACAAAGAAGGAATAAGCCAAGACCAAAAAATGAGGGAAAAATAAAAGAAAAGGCGAATGCAAAATTCAAATCGCGAACTGCTTAAAAATGAACAACAAATGAAATTCCCATAGGTGCCAGAAGTTCGCCACGTCTGCAGGCATTTAAATGGCGTACAGCGTACAGCGTACGGCGGACGGGGCGTATACGCAATCTCCTCAGCTGCGCCACCGAAAAACTTTTTCCCAATTGAGCCTGCATCCTTCGTGTCGCTGTTCCTTTCACCTGCTTTTGTGTCTGCGAACGGGCAACATTTAATGTCATGTTTGTAAGTTTCTAGACGATGCCAACATGTTACTTTTGGTCCGCCCCGGCGATTCCTTCCGCACTCCTTGTCGCATTTCTTGGCGCCCGTTGCCTTTCTTCCTTGCCAGCATAAAGTCACTTTCTGTCTGGGCTTCTAATTCGCCAGGATGAAGGTGTGTATGTATGCACTTTTCCGCCACGACAGATTTAATTTAAAGACATAATTCTATCATTTTTAAAGTAGGATATGGGACACTGACACTTAAAAGACACAAACAATAGTTAATGGTAATAATCCGTCTTTAAATCAACTTGGCAGCTTGAAAGACAAACAACAAGTCAAAGCCAATATAATAAAAGTTTTCAATATGCTGGGAAACTAAACTACAATGGCATTAGACTCATAAACAATTCATAAACACTTGGCACGCTCGTGTGCGTATGCCGACCGACACCCACAACTATACCCACAAGAGTCGGCAAGATTATGTCAGAGACAATCGGATTAATATCAGACAAGAAGAGCTCTGAGCTGAGCAAACATCAATGATACGACAAATTGTAATGAAAATTGTATTCAGATGAGACAGGGGGAGTACTATGTTAGTACTCTTTGTAAAGGGAAGGTGAATGGGTAAAGGGTTTCGGGGGCTGAAGGGAACTGAAATTGTTTTGTTGCCTTAGCTAATAATGTTGATCTGATTAGCCAAGACCCGGCAGCAGGCAAATACGATTTTGGCCGCCGGCACTTGCCGAATAGACTTTACAATTAAATCAGGGAAACGGTTAAGCGGCTGCCAGACAAATAAGTCGACTTACTTGACTCGGGCCTTCTCATTAACTCCGCCCCCACCCCCGACCCGAATATGTGTCAAAAGTTCGCATTTGAAGTAATTAAATTTAAATTGAATTCAGTCCCGGCTCGCTGGGGGGGAGAAAAAAAAAATTAATAAAAGAGGAAAAGCTGAGTGAAGAAAACTTTTTTAATCCTTTGCTCATTTGTTTTTTCCTTTTTGTCGTTTTTCTGTTATTTTTCGACTTTTGTGCGTTTTGTGCGTGAAGTGGAATGGGGCTGGGTAATATTCTGGGGGTTTTGGGGCTCTGAGATTGGACTCGGCATTGGATCCCTCGGCGTTTCGGTGTTATTAAAACTTTGAATGGAAAACTTTACTGCGTAATGGATTTGAATGAAAAGTGAAATATGTTGAGGCCACAGCAGTACTTCAATAAAAAACTGTTTTTATTTAATTACTGAAATGAGGAAAAAATTATGTTTTATTTGTAGTCTTTTGACACTCTGGAGCAATATTAAAAAATCTCACCGGATAACTCAAATGTTAAGTGAAATTGTGCCGGGAACGGCCATCGATGGTCGTAAAATGTATAAGCTTCGAAATGAAGCCATAGAATGGCATGGTATGGCAGTTGCGGAAAACGGCTCACATATACAACCATACCACCATCTCCCCCTCGACACCAACCAGATCCAGCTCTAATCGCTCCCGGTCCAAACCCCTTTTCCCAACAACCCGCTTGAATATTGCATCCGTTAGTGCATTGACTTTCATGTCGCGCCCCTCGCAAAATGAGTCACAATTAAAACCGATTCATGGTAAACTGAAATAAAGAGAAAATATTTAGAGACACGGGGATACCTAGTATTTTAATCATAAAATAATATAAACTTTTTGGTGTTAAAATATTTCATTTTTCTATTGTTTCTTAAAGTCTGTAAAGTCTAGTGATCTATAAAAATTTATGAACTTTTTATTGACTATTGTACTATTAGATCTTGATACCCAGTGGACTTACCTTGCTGGAAAGCGAAAGCGAAATTGTTATTGCAACATGCAACCGCAACTACCAAGCAACAGCAACAACAGCAGCAGTAACCGCTCTGTGGCTGCGTCGTCTCGCAATAATTGTGAGCAAATATTACATGAAAGCGCTCATGACTCTGCTGGGGGGAGGGCCAGGGGATCAAAAGAGGTGGGGGGAAGCAGGGAAGTGGCAAATTGACGGGGAGATTGGCGGGGCAAACAGCATATTATCATGGCAGGCGATGACGATAACCACAACAACAATGCAACATCATAATTATCGACAAAAGCCAGAGCTGGAGCTCCTAGCCCCCCTAGCCCGCCGCTGCGGCAATTATGCCAAAAGCGCGTTTATTATGTGAAAAGAAACCAAAGATATAGTAAAGTATATATTGAATTCAACTCTGGCTGGAGGAGCAAAAATCATTTGAGGAAAAGCCGTCAAGGAAATCGAGTATTTGTGTGTAAAAGAAAACCCAAGGAAAGCAACAAAAAAAGCGATCCAGAAAGTTGTTGGTGTTTAGAGTTGTCGGTTGGTTGTCGGTGGATTTTACTTTATTTAGACCACGTTTCTGTGGCGTGTTACGAAATCGATTCGGAGTTGCATTCAAACATCAGCAACAGTTATTGCAGCTACAATTATAATGCTCACAGAGGCAGCAAGTTGGCACATTTTTATTGTTAATTAAATAATGCGAAATTTGAAGAAATTAGTTAACCAAATAGTTGAGCCATTTATGCAATGAATAGTTTATTTTGTAGAGATCCTAATAGGCTTTGCTCTTTTTGTCACTTTTATTTAAATTAAAAACTGAAAAAATAAACTTGCCTTAAGTTGGCGGCCTTTCAGGTTTTATCCATTGATTTTATGGCACTTTCATTCGATTGATTTACCAACGCCCCTTCCTAATTGACAGCGGCATTCATTAGCCTCTCTTCCTGACCCCAAACACCCGATCGACAATTGACAAACACGGACATTCAGCTGGCAACAGGACGTTGTCGCCAGGGGGTCGGGGCCTATGGCGACAGGATGATGGCGGGTGCAAACACGCTGTGCACACAGACGACACCCGCCAGGCGGTTGCATGTGCCCCAGTTTCCGTGACCGCTGCCGTTTCCTTCCATCCATGTTGCACATTTTTGCTCAGCCTCCATCTGTCAGTATTTTGATTGATCATGATTTTACATTTTTTTTTTTGTTTAATGTAAAAGACATTCGTATTAATTAAAAGAATTTATTTTGTTTTGTACAGCACATTTCCCAATATTTATTTGAAATTTCTATACACAATTGTCTAAAAAATTTACCAAACGGGTATTCTAGTCTTCATATTTCATAAAACAAACATAGATTTTAAAATTGAAAATTTGGAAGCATTACTAAGAATTTTGACGTGTACTACTGGTGTGAAATGGACAATTTTGATGTAATTTTGATGAAAAATTTTGAGTAATGGATAAACCCGGGTTTTATGCGGGTCTATGGTGTTGATCGGTGATTCGTGTAGATTCTTCCCTTCTTGAAATTCGCAAGCATTACAACTATCTTGTCTTGTCTTAATCGGTAGTAGTTTTAGTTAATATCCGGTAGTGACCCACTCCTTAGGGTATCATTTTGTCATCGTCTGCATGTTATGAATGTCTCAATCGTGTGGTGAACAACAAAGAAAAAAAATGTTTGTTTTGGCTGGGTATGGGTCTTCATCCTCTGCATCTTTGTTTATAACTTGAACGGAACTAGATTTTTGGCCACATCCAGTCCGTTTGATCTGAGATGGTCCTGTGTAATCTTGGCGGCTTCTTCGGCGTATGTTTTAATGTCTTCTTCGTCTTCTTCAGACGAGGCCTCCTCGTCCACAACTGTCTCCAAGCCATCCACGTTAGCTGCATCCATGTCCGGCCGATCAACGGCCAACTTTTCAAGGCGCTTTTTCTGCTTCGCCAGGCCAAGCTCCCTGAACTTGGCCCACATGACCCGTGTCGCGTAGAGGGCCACGGCAGCTGCAGTCAGCCATGGGGTGTTCAACATCAGTTGGGCACCCGCGGTGGTTGTATCGGCCTTTTGGCTTGTGGTCTCTGGTGCTGCTGGTGCTCCTGGGGCTCCTCCTGGTGCTGCTGGCTCTTCTCCCATTTTGCTGTAAAAGAATTGTTTATATTATTATACTTACTATAATATTTTTTCATTTTATTTATTTTTCACTTTCAAAATAATAATTCGAATTTTGAATTTTTATTTACTTACACTTGGTTTTAAATTACAGTTAGTGAACAAGATTTTACTTATTATTTATGTTGTTTGCAGCTGAGGTGCTAGCGTTTGAATGATTGTTGTAGCCGCTGAGCGGATCTGGGTCTCAAAATTTCAAATAATCGGGTTGCTGAGGTCAACAAAAAAATTGTCCGAGCTGTAAGTACTATGGGATGAATTCACTTGATTTACAATAAAAAAATTAAAATTTTTTGCAACTTTTTTGCATCGAAGAGAATCAGGAGTGCCTTTAATTAATAAAGAAAATATAATAGATCGCTTTAGGAAAGAAAACGCCAATAGAAAAGTTTCTAGTTTACTGGGAAAACAAATGAAACTCATAGATGTACAGTGGGGAGATTAGAACCTTTAAGTGTTCAAATTAAAGTGTATTATTATGGGGTTCCAATGACTAGAAGCTGTCTAATAAATTATCTGCAACTTATTCTATCGCCCTCGACCCACCAGATTGTCATGACTAAGCTATGGGCTCTTGCTCTGGTGGATGTGTGTGTGTGATTTATATTTCATAAGCTGATGAATTTTGTAACAAGTTGTCACATTTGCCACTCGAGGGTTTTCCTTTAGAGTCACTGCCTCCCTCCAGCCACCCTGCTTCCTGCCACACCCAGTCCCAGCCAAGCGACAAATGACACAACGCAAACAAATGCAATTTACATTTGCTTTGCAACGTGAATGCGAGTAACTTTGTTTGCCTGATTTTGCATATGGATATACTAGTATATATATATGTATACTACGTATGGCACTTGGTGTTAATTTCGTGCGAAAACATTTCAGATTTCGTGGCATGTTTTTATTCCAACCACACATTCAGTTTGGTTCAGTGGACTTTGCTTTGCTTAGTTCTTTGGTTAATGATGTTTGTGTTTTTTCACAAATTATATTATGTTTTTAAATAAAACAACAAAGATTGGGTGGCGTTAATATACCACTCTCCCAAGACCCGATAGATTTTTTACAAATCCCGAAGTACACCTTTTACCAGCCTTTGGCGGTTCTATTCACGAAATTCATCAGGTTTTCGTGTTCATTTCCACTGGCATGCATAAATCTCCTTTCCTACCTCAATCTGTCATGACTATCAGAATCGGATCCATAGCAATTTCAATTGAAATTGGATTGTTATGTGCTGAGGAGTCATAAACAATGAATGTGCAACGTGGCGTATGAGCAACACGGCATCCGTTTCGACCTGCAACAGAAGTTCCTTTTGATCGATGTCTACGAATATCTAACCGTTCTGCCCATAGACTCACAAAATATATATATTAAGCCAAAAACTTAAAGCCACTTTATGGTTTATATATTTCTGTTATCACTTGGCCAGGATTAAAATCATATGGCGAGAACAATGAGTGATATTTAACGAGGAATGCATAATTTACCGCTCCGGAAGTCGTGGCGGAAGTTGAGAGTTTAAATGTGGCGTCAGTTTTCCGCCACCCGACCCCCGAAAGAAAACGGGGGAAAATCCACCCTCAGAGTCCACCCCTGGCACCGACCATAAGTAGGCTACCCCCGTCGACTGCACTTTGTTTTATTTTTTCTCTTTTCCATCCTGGCGGCTTTGTTAGCCTGCCGCCTCTACTTTTTGATATATTTTTTTGGCAGCAATTTTATTGTTGCAAAAAGTTTCCAATTGCACAATGAAAATGGTGGGTGGCAAGACCCCCCCGAAACTTTACGCCCACGCCTCCAAAACTTTTTTGGCCTGCAAATGCATTAAAACAATGGCCAAAATTCACAGGCTTGGGCCTAGAAGAGCAAAAATTATGGCGGATAGCCCAAAAAATTCGAAATAGATAGCTTAACCATATAGCCTGGTAAATATTAAGTTTCTCATTCTTAGCACACCTTTCCAGAGTCCATAAAGTAGCATTGACAACTAGATTTATGCATCATCATGGCGGCATTTTGCTTAGACAACTTTCTGGTGATTTTCGTTATGAACTTTACCTCCTTAATGCGAGTTTATTCGCATATATATTTTATTGAGTTCTATGGCTCGTATTTCTCTGGTGGGAGGAACACACAGCACTTTTCTCACGCAGTTTTCCGGGACGATTTTCCCACCCAAGGACACCCTACTAGTTGTCATTGTGAATACTTTGGGAGTTTCGCTTTGAAAGCGCCATAAATCTTTTTATGATTTTAGCTTCTCCTTTGGCAATGACTTGATTCGTCTTTTTCGCAGTGATTGTTATTGCGACTGCGACTCTGATGACTGTGACGCATACAAATTGTTGTATATCTATGCAGTATGGTTGCAAAATATATATACCCTATTAAATTATTAGATAGGTCTATTTTAAATACTTGTAAATAGGTATTCTCTACGATTAACTAACGTCGAAAGAATGAATTTAGCCAAAGAATAGAAGCTCTGCCATGGAGATTGTCTCAAAGATCCGCTCAGGTTATACAAATGTCCTTTAAAAACTATTGAGTGAAACAAGTCATACCCTAAGCTATCGCTCTAGGGTACATATACCTTCGGATCCTTCGATTAATCCCACTTTGGAGCAATTTTCAACAAACATTTCGCGGCAGCACGCAACGCCATTTTGGCGACGAATGCCATGAAAAAGAAAATGGCCCAAGCACGCGACGTCCCCGACTGGAAAAAAAAATGGTTCTAGAACGAAAAGCCTGGCTGGGAATCGGCTTTTGGCCAGCCCACTGTGGCGCCACTGCCACTGGCAGCAGCAACAGCAACAGCAACAACTACAGACAGCAACGTGGCCATAAGAGCGCCACAGTTGGTTTGGGTTCGGCATAAGCCAGGCGCCAGCAAAGTTGTAAAATCGGCAAATGGCATATAAAAATCGCTGGAATTGTTGTTGTCGTCACAGTTCAGAGTAGGTTTCAGGATTTGGTTCTGGCTTCTGACAAGAAGGAGCCCCAAAATTCAGTCTACCATTTCCTTGATTAATAAATTGACTTTCGGGGGACAGAGTTGCATCACTGGAAACAAATCAAAATTAAACATTTAAGTACTTTCGAAGTAATGGGCTAATAAGTGATTTTGTTTTAGGTAATAAAGCTCCCTTTAAGCCTTAAATTTAAAGCTCTATTAAGAGCCATTAAAGCCGACGGGTTAGAGGGTCATGTAATTAGGGTCAACGTGTGTCAAAATGTTTGCAGCCTAACTCATTACTTCTTTTTTTTTTTGGCCAGGGGCGTAAAAACTTTTATTAATTGTATGACATAAGCTGGACAGACTTTGGCTGGAAAAATTCTGGAGGGGACGGTGGGGCGAAGGATAATGGTGGAAAAACTGGCACAAATCATTACACACGAGAGCCAGGACCACGCTGACAGCGGACAATTCACACACAAGCCCCGCTCCCGCACTCGCACAACAATGCAAATTAGCGTCACCGTTTTATGCAATGCCATCGAGTCATTAACACATCGACGTCCTTAGTCCTTAGCCCTCAGTCCTGTGGGTCCTGTGACCTGCCTGCCGCGACCTCCGCCCTGGCAGCCGAGTCCTGTGAGTGTGTGCATGTGTGTGGGCATTAGTGTCATCAGCATTCGTGGCCCGTCACATCAACACCAATTTGTGAAAGTGAAAAAAAGAGGGACGGAGGCGTATGAAGAAAGGACCTCGTTTAGGTTTTATCCGCGTGCCTTTACATTAATTGAAATTAGCCGGCTGACATCCGAAAAAAAGTTACACGATTGATGGCCAAAATGGTTTGAATTTAAGGTTACAGAATAGACTGATTAATAGTGGGCTGTCTAACTGTTTGATATTTAACCCATTTTTTGCTCATAAATCCTTAGGTGAGGAATAAATTTGAAATGATTTTGAAGCCTCGAATCCATAATCAAGTCCTTGTAGAACCGAAATTCTAGTTGAGAGCCTGGTCCCCTGCTACAGCCACAATCAGAATTCGAGTACATCATCATCATCAGAGCTCGAGGACGACAAACGGCACGAAATATGGAAAAATGAAAAGGAGAAATCCAGGACATCCAACTGCCATCCCATACATCCATCCATCTAACCATTCATCCATCCATCCATCCGTCCATCCATTCATCCAGTTCAAAACCAGCTGGAGCTTAATCGCAAAGCTTTGGCATTGCTTCGGATCAGGACACTACATAAACTACAAACACATAGAGGGACTGAGACTGCGACTGCAGTTCGGGTGCAGGTGAAAGGATATATAGACGGGGATGATAATAATGTTGATGATGATGATTCCGATGGCGGTAAGAACGCTTGACAATGACGCCATTGAAAGCACTTTTGCCAGCATTATGTGGCTGGCTGTGTGATTCCGAAGCCAAGGTTCAGTTTGCGGTTCGGATTGAGTTGCTGGCGTTTTTCGGAAGCCAAGGCGCCGGAGCTGAGGCGGCGCGGCAACAGTTTCTCGGTTTGGCAATCAAAAAGTCATCAAATATGAATTTTACGCTATAATTTTTCACCCGAGCAGAAGGGAGTCACCTGAGCAGCCCATGGATAGGAGCTGTGGGTAGAACCCATTTGGCTCTAACGTTTAGCTGCCATTTTTATGGCTTTTCTGGCTTGTGAACGCCCTTTGGCACGTCTTTCAACTCAATTGCACTTTTGTGCATTTCTTAAAAATATTCTTTCCTTTCGGGCTCTCATACCCATACATTCAAGTATAGACAGATGTCGGTAGACACATTTGAATTGATGGAAACGTGTCCTGTGGCTTTCTGGCAAAAATATTCAATTCAATATACGCACACACGTGTCGAATGTTGATTGGAAGCGATTGGGAAAAGAAATCAGTGGGGAGATGCAGAAAACTTAAAGCAAAACTTTACAGATAATGTCAAATAGTGAGGTATCGGAGCTGGGTTTGGGGGAAATATTAAAAATGGTGTTTATGCCTCGACCTTAAATATACAAAACTTGTGCTTTAATTTTTTTTTCGTTGGCTGCTCTTTGTTAGCCAGCTACTTGGGGAACTTCTGTGCTCTGCGCTGGGCAAAAATTAAATTAAAGTTTATGCAAGCGTAACGGCAGCCAGCAAAAATCATTTGCCACAAAATCCACTAAAACCCAATTTTGTGCCAACAAATAAAATGAAACACGCACAAACAGCAGCAGTAGCAGCAGCAGGAGCAAGAGCACCAGCAACTTCTGGGCTAGCATGTGTAGAAATAACAGGACCAACAAGGAAAACCAACCATCCAAGGATCCAAGGACCAGACAAACTGATGCACCCAAGGAAAGCGCAGCAAAAAAATAAGAAAACATATCAACAACAAAAGCAAAAATCTGCCTCAAGACGTTGCAGTATTTGGCAAAGAGAATGGTGTACTGTGCACAGTCAGAAATGTTACTGAAAAAGGCCATCAACTCAATAATTGAATTACAAATAATAAATCCCATTCTTTATAAAGGTTCTTAATTAACTTAAAGTGATTAAAATCGTTTAAGGAATAATTCATGCGACTCAGTTCTGGACATAGTTTATATATTCTTGATCTTCAGTGTAGACAGAGGCTGGAAATGGGCGTCGATGTGGTTGGCTGGAGTTGGGATTCGGTTTTGTGGCTGTGACGCAGATAAGCAAAAGTTTCGCTCAGTTCTTGAGTTGAAGTTGATGTGAAGCTCTGGGGCTGAGAAGCTGGGAAGCTGTGGAAATGGCAAAAGGTTGGGGATCGGGCAACATTTTGTAGAATTGTGGAAACACTCATGAAGGGGGGCCAACCGAATCAGAACTGAGAAATCATGTCATTTGGCAGGCAACGCCGCAACATTTTGCCGCTTTTAATGTTAGCCAAACTGTCAGATGATGTTGTCTACGAGGATATTTCTTCCATTTCACTGGCAAAGTGACTCCTCCTGCAACATGTTGCAACTTAGGTAGCCCAGGGCACTTTCGGTTGTCAAAAGTAAAAATAAATTTATTGATATTTGATTTTTTACTTGGAGTCCTTTTTCCGAGCGATTGATACTGAGCAGGAATCAATTAAGTGTATTTTTTTCTTTAAATTTTAAGTGCAAGTCCATCCAAAACGAAATGGTGCCAGAGAACACATTCTTGAGCAGCATATCTCATCATTGTCGCACTAAAGTTAAATATAAATATTTAAAAAAATTTAATTATTATAAATAGATATAGATAGTCTTACGGTTTCTCCAGCCCTCTTGCATCCGTTGACATACAAAACAGCTGCCATAAAAATAGCCAAAAATATAAGAACCTCTTTTAATTTCATGATGCAGTCTCGAGAGGTTTAAGCTAAAGTATAAATATTTTACAAAGCAGTTTCAGCTTATATAAGAAACACGTCTTTTGTTTAAAAAAAAAACTTAAAAAACAATAAAACAGTTGGGTTTAAATACAATACAGACATATAAATTAATAATCATTTATACGTAAGACTTAAGAACTTTTATTGTTTAAATTGTATTCTTCTTTCACCTTCCTTCAACTCGGTATTTTTAAATGCAATTTTACAAATAATTAAATGCTAAACAAGACAAGTAACCAAAAAGGAAAGGGGAATTTATAGCGACATTGAGATACTCAAGTACTCGCACTTTTTTGCATCTCTTTTGGCAGCAGATGACGATGATGATGAAAGTCAAGTCAGTCAAGTCGGTGGTAACTTGAAGCCAACTTAGCCAGCCATCCAGCTGAAACTGTTGCCTGGCCAAAATACAAAAAAAAAAAAAAGAAAAGTACAAGAAAAAAGCAGCGATAAAAAGGTAAGCTGCAACAGCAGCCCAGATAAACCTTTATCAAAAGTTGCACCACCCACTCATCACACCCCCGTGATTATCTTTCCAAGTCAGTTGCCGTAAGGCGACACTTTTAGTGCACTCTCTTTCGTGTGACAGTTCACAAACGACAATGGCACAAACAAACAAAGCGGCTAGCAAAAACGACAAACAAACAAAAAGGACGAGACTTCTGCTGTCCTTCAGATGCCAGGTTCCACTGCTTTGACATTTGCCACCTAAAGCTTCTCCTTTTCTCCGACTTTACTACTTTTTTTTTTTGGTTTGGGTTTAGGTTTGGCAAAGTTTTTACAACTTATCACCCACTTTGGCATTGAATATTGCCTTGTTCTGGTAAGAGTGAAATGGATTTACTATTAATTTGTAAGAGATCTATTTCTATATATATACCTCTTAAAGCTTACATACTGATGACAAAATGTAGTATATTTGAAATCGCGCATACGCCGCGTTGCCTGTTCGGACATCACATTGTTGTCTTCTGGTATGATCTCGGTCCAGCAAGATCTGGAGCTTTAATTTACTAATTTATAAATCCAAACATTTGCGGCTACTCTCGTTGAGCTGACAACTGTCACTCTCAAGGCAACACTTTCTACAACTTTGCCAAATATTCAAGGTATATAAATATTTTTTATGGTTTAATCGAATTTACCACTAGGATTTGGAAAAAATTTTCACACTTGAGGCATTTACTATTTAAGCTTCAGGTGTAGCAGTCGCATCGTAATGCATCGGTTTCTACAAATATTAATTTTTGCCTGGTTAATAGTTGCACCTAGATGCCAACCAACAGCTGATGGTGGAATGGATGAACCGCCAACAAAGCCTACACCGCCAACTGTACCTTCTAAAGATCCTCCTAATGGAGGATCTCCTAATACCACAGATTCTACTCCTACTAATCCACATCCAGTCCCTACACCTCCCAGCAGACCAAAACCCACCGGGATAAGAACCAGAAAACCAATAAGAAGAGCCTGCCCTTATGGATACAAATGGGTAGGTTATAAGTGTACCCGAGAAGTCTATCATGCCGTACAACACCCGGGAAGCTTTAACAAGGTCTTGGATCTAAAATATCTAATCACAACTTCGGGACCGATAAGAACTAAGTATTTTACTCTAACATCCAAAACTCGTTGGCCTAATTATCACCCCGAACACCCCGGCCATTATGCTACCCCTCCTTGGTATTATGACCGGTTTCAAGACATTTACGACGATAGCGTTCGGCGCCTTGACAGCGGACGTACAACTGCCTCCTTTGGTAAATGGGCAGTCAATGCAGGAAATGACGACACACCTAGACCCCTCAGGAAGCCAAGATATTTTGATCGCAGATTTGAAGACTTTCGTGGTTACCAAGAGCGTAGAGGTCCGTACATGGACTATGAAGAACGAAGAAGACGGTACCGGGACTACGAAGAACAAAGAGGACGATTCCGGGACTACGAAGAACAAAGAAGACGGTACCGGGACTACGAAGAACCAAGAAGATCGTACCAAGAATACAAAAAACACAAAAGTCAATATAGAACCAAAAAAAGTCGTTCCAAATTTCAACGAAGGGGCTAACTGAAACAAATTCCATAGTTTTATGAACAAAACATGTCGGAACTTCTTAATTTTTAAAAATAAAAGGCACTTGTTTTCGTTTCTATCTTTTATCTTAAACCCACTGTGCCAAAACTGTAGATAATTTCAATAATCCAGCCATAAAGAACGACGTAGTCAGAGCCGTTCGCCAACTGTATAACCCAATCAGTTTCACTAAAATGGAGGTAATGCAAACTACTTCGTTTTTCTCGGTAACGCCATTGGACCTGCCACCTTGTGCTGCAGGACTCATATGGAATATCGAGGAGAACGCCTGCCTGCCGGATATGGAAGATGTTTCTGACGTGGAGATTAGAGCTCCAGTTCCCGACACCCGTTGCAAGTATGGATACTACTTTCAGCCGGTTATGAAGGTATGCACTCGAAAGAAGTATCATGTGACAAGAGGAAGCGGTAGCTTTAACAAGTGGTGGAAAAAGAAGCAAACGAAGTCAACACCAAAGTATGTCCCCAGACCGATACCAACCCCAGAGCCTCCCTATACAGGCGAATATTGGAAGTATCACGAATTTGGAAGAGATCGTACACGCTTGTTCTACTAGGGGCAAGAATACTTAATTTAAAAGCGAAAAGGATTTCTCCCTTGCCCTTCCTTCCTATTGATTCCTATAAATAAAATGTAATCACAGGATAATTTTTTTATTTCAAATCAATAAAAAAAAAATACGATTTTCTAGCCATATGAGGTGCGGTAACACAGGCCCATCCTTTTTTTAAAACCATCTGCGCATGCATTCTGACTAGTCTGAATACATTTCTTTTTGGTTCTATTGTAGACGGTATTCTTTCCACAAAAACGTTCAGGGAACATTTGTTCGAGACCGGATTTCTGGATCTTCCGGGTCCTTCGGCTCCTCCAGGACCTCTGTGATTCTATTAATCCCAGAAGGCACAAAAACACAAGTATCTTTACGATCATACTGAACAAATATGTTTCAAAAATATGAAAATTTTGTTTCACCTTAAAAAGCAGAAATAATGAATTATTGACGTATTAGCTATTGTTTTCAATCGGACATTCCATAAATATTACGTATATAAGCCATATAATTCTTAATAAATCAAACTTGAGCCCTCAAGAACTTCTATAAATTTTCCATTGCAGGTACGTTGCTGATTTGACGACAATGAAGGAAAAGGACTCTTGCCAAAACAAATGTCACGTGAGCCACACAAACTTTTATGCTTTTTTCCCCGCACTCCAAATCTAGTTTTGTTCTGTGCTTTTTTCCCCAATGCCGATTCTGGTTCATCATGACAGCACATAGAAATATTTGGCTAGCTCGACACCATAATTTTTTTTGTTCGCTTTTCCTTATTTCCTCTGATTTTCCTCTGTTTTGTTTGTTACTCTCAACCCGATCCGTGATTTGGCTGCCTGGAAATCACGTAAGCCGGAGGGGTAGAGGAAAGATAGTTCCGTCATGTGTCTGCGTCTACTTTGCTCTGATTACAAAACCCAACACGAGGCACACTGACAAAAACAATCGTTCTCCACATGCATTTTTCGAAATTTTAAAGGGGACCCTCCAGAAAAAATGACAAAAAATCTAAAAAATATTTCGTTGCTAGGTTTTGATGCAGAATTATAGAGAATTAATCCACAAATCAATTAAGGTATTCCGTTTAAGGATCGGATGAATATTGACAAAGATATACCAATTGCTGGGAGCCATATTGACCTCCACATGGAATTTTCCAAATTTTAAAGGGGACCCTCCAGAAAAAATGACAAAAAAATCTAAAAAATATTTCGTTGCTAGGTTTTGATGCAGAATGATAGTGAATTAATCCACAAATCGATTAAGGTATTCCGTTTAAGGATCGGATGAATATTGACAAAGATATAGCCATCGCTGGGAGCCATATTGACCTCCACATGAAATTTTCGAAATTTTAAAGGGGACCCTCCAGAAAAAATGACAAAAAATCTAAAAAATATTTCGTTGCTAGGTTTTGATGCAGAATTATAGAGAATTAATCCACAAATCAATTAAGGTATTCCGTTTAAGGATCGGATGAATATTGACAAAGATATACCAATTGCTGGGAGCCATATTGACCTCCACATGGAATTTTCCAAATTTTAAAGGGGACCCTCCAGAAAAAATGACAAAAAAATCTAAAAAATATTTCGTTGCTAGGTTTTGATGCAGAATGATGGAGAATCGATCCACAAATCGATTAAGGCATTCCGTTTAAGGATCGGATGAATATTGATATAAAGATATAGCCAACGCAGGGGGTCATATTGGCCTCCACATGGATTTTTGGAAAATTCAAAAACAAGTCTCTAGGAAATTTTTTCCGTGTAGTAAAAAAAACATTTTGGCAGCCAGGGTGGCGCGCTTTGTTAACGCCCGAGCTACCCTCGGATTCTTGGGTTGCTTAAGAGGATGAGGGGATAGGTGAATAGGTTTCGATGTTGTGAGATGCAGTGCAGCCAGTTTTTGCCATCCTGCAGTGCCTCATCCTCCCGGTTGCCAACTTTGTTTTAAGTGAAAATTGAAACTGAGCTCAGCAACTGTCCGATGGCTTTTTATTTGGTGATTGCTTAGCTGCTTCGCGTCCTTCCTACAAAAAAAATCTTGTAACTGAAAACTCAAAGCAAACGAAAAATCTACGTGACACCAGTGGAATGCCGGAAGAAGCTCCTCTAAAAAGGGTACGCCAATTGGATGAGGGATGCATAGTCTGGAAGTGAGACGAGAAAGAGGCACATTTTCAAGGATTTTTTATTGAGTAACAACATTATTGATTTAAAAGGTCTACTGGCTTATAATTGGTGTATATTTCCATAGGTTCAGCAAAGACAATATCCATATTATGCCAAAATTATAAAAATCTAAATAAACCGAAATAAAACTGTCAATTTTTGTACAAAATCCGATTTAGGATAAACAAGGTTTCCAAGCAAATATAAAGATAAATCGTATCAATCAAAGCCAATCCAATCCGTATCCGAAAGCGATGACGATGACGACCGTTTGGGGTTACTGGGCTTCTTTGTTTCTCTCTTAGGTTTATTTTTGGGCTGGGGCTTGTGCTTCTTGGGAACTCTGACCCGAGTACGGCGCACGATCTCTCGGCCTGTATTGCCATCAATGAAACGGCCGAATCTGGAATTGACGTACATCACATCGGCCGCGGATTTCGGGATGCAGGCTTTCGCCGGAAGACGACATAGCTGCCGGACAACATCAGACTGAATTGGCTTAGGTGCGCACTGTCTTCTCCTCCTGGCTCCGCCAACTTTCAGTGGCTTGGGCTTGGCCACTTTTCTTTTCTTTGCTACTGGAGATTGACGCATTTGAGAATGACTTTCTTCAGGCAATTCCGAAACCGATTTTTTCTAAATGAAAGAATAATTCAATTGCTTAAAGAATAAAAGTTTCTGATTTAATTCTTACCACTTTCTTGCTATAGCCTCTTGTCATTATTACTTTTTTTTAATTTTAAAAAAGGCTTACTTAAAATTTTTATTCTGGTTTTCTGACTACTATCTTCAACGGAGAATTTTTACTACTGACTGAATGCTTTCTACAAGGCTTAGATTTCTACAGCATAGCCAGCTGGGTTTTAAAGTTTAAAAAATATTTAACAATTTAATGAGAATATTTTGGGACATTCTGCAACACTTCCTTGATTGTGTGATCCTTGGGAAACTCAGGTGGAACTCCACTCCACTCTACTACCCCGCTTATTGACTTTCAAGCTCAGTTTACTTTCCTTGCGCTGTTTGACTTTGAGCTTGGCCAGAACTTGCTGGCCCCCGAGCTGGAGAACAGACTGCTGCAGGCCAGGAGCTGGTAGAGTCGGAGCGAAAGTCAGGGCAAAATGTTTTATGCTGTGCACGGTAAAAATTCACATAATTGCAGTTGGAATTCAACAAACAACAGCAGAGCGTAAATAGAAAGCGCAAAGTCAACAGAAAAGCGATAGCACAAAAAAAAAATATATATATATATATAAGAAGGAGTCAGGATACTCCTAGTCAGGCAAGGAAAAAAATTGTAGAAAAATATGTGAAAAGGAAGAACTGGATGGGGTATAGAATCAGCAACGTCACCGCAACAACAGCAGCAGCAAATACAAACAAACAAACTAACCTTTGACCCTCCGTTTTAGTCTTTATCGTTGTTGTTGTTGTCCACTTCAGGTGCGCCAAGTAATTGCAACTGAAACTGAAACTTGGCTAAGTTGCCAAGGAAACGGATTGCAACTAAAATTGAAGCTGAAGCGGGGGACAGAGTCAGCGCGGAGCACAGGATGCTCCGACCAGGACATGGAGCTCGGAATACATGCACACAAAAGCATTTCGATGCAGGTCATTGCGGCTAAATTAAAAGAAATCTACGCAGGTTGATCAGGATGAGGATGGGATGGGTTTGGCTCCCTCTTTGCCCAGAGGGAGGGCTTAGAGGATACATCAGAACAGCCCATTCCCGCCAAGGACCAGGTCACGCCCCACAGTTGACAATATAAGCAAAGATAAAGAACGGAAAATGGAGAAGCAGTCTGTCGTTGATTTTAATTAAAATCTTTAAGCTGCTGTTGATTATTAATTATAATGCCACTGCTAGCTGAGAAGGACCTGCTAGGTAGCCAGCTATACGTAAAAGGATAACAGAGAGAGGATTATAGAGTGGAAAATGACCTTAAATGTTGAATCAACGTGAATTATTTCAAATAATATATCATAATTGATATCATATCAATTATTATATCATATATATAATAATTGAATCACCTTGAAATTAAATTATCAGAAATGATTTATGTAAATTCGAGACTACCATACATACTCAAAAAAAAGGAAAACCTGAGCAAACTAATTTAAGCAATTTGTCAAAAGAAAACAAAACACAAAAGCCCAAACAACATCAGCAAGCCAAATCCAAACATAAATAAAGCACAAAGTGTCAGACGGACAAACAAACAAACAATTGGCCCACACCTGCCCCGTTTCAAGTGGGTGGAGATAGTAGGGGGATTGGGAGGCTGGCCGCCTGGCCGGCTCCTTTTAAGCTGCCAAATCCGACAATTAAATTATTGCATGACAAAACATGCACCGCAAAATATTCAAAGCGCGCCAAAAACAGGATGTAAACAACAATAACAGCAACACGATGACGGAAAAACAGGAAAAACCTCAGAAAACACACATCCCCCCAACCCACCACGCTGCAAAACATCAACAGCAACTAGCCAAAACATAAACACGGGCGGGGAAAAAAAAAGACACCCACCCACCCGTAGAAAAACCGAAAAAAACAGATTCATCTTCCGCAACAAGAACAACAAAGGACGACCAGAAAAAAACAACAACAACTTTTGGCCTAGGAAAATGCCAAAAAGGAAGCAATAAACGGAGGGACTTTGGGGCCTCCCCCCTCCAACTTTCGGCTCGGCTACAGCTAGAGCAGATATTCCATATAGCTCATGGCAATAATTTGAAATTCGATTACCATAACCAAGTACTCGGAAAACACAAACAGAGATCGCAGGGGTCACTCACACATGCTCGTATTCCAAAAAAAAAAAAAGAAAAGCGCGAAAAGTTAGGAAAAAAGAGGGGTATGGAGAAGGGTGTAGGGGGGGAAAAGCGACATTCCCGCTGCCAGAGGCGAAAAACTGCAAATGGCGAAAACGTTCGCTAAAAGGTCGCCACATCAGACTGCCAACAGGAAAAATGAGAAAAAAAAGAAAATTCCCTACAAAGAAAACAAAACTGGCCAAAAAGCCAAAAAGGGAAATACATCAGAAATTTTGGGCAAACAAGGCTCGACCACAAAAAATACAGACACACATACGGTGGACAGTGTTTGACAATGTCTGTGGGCTTTGAAAAAGTTATATTTGATATATAAAAAGTGATGGTATTTCAGTTCTATCTAAATATTCCATATTGATTAGTTTAAAGCATAGGCTGAGGGAAGTCTATATATAAGGACTATCTTGGTTTTAAATTTCTAGCAAATTAAAAATCGATTTTTGTCGAGGAGAAGACCTCGTATACCTCGACCTTTTATTTTATTTATTTTAGGAGCTCCTTTGGTCCCCTTTTTGAGGCCACCTCAGTTTCCAAACGATTTCAATTACAGCCAATTAAGCGAAAAATCGGCAGCGACAGCGGCAGACAAAGAACCTCACATACAAATTGCAACAAAAAGCCAAAAGATGCTAACACAGGCAGACACACACCCCCCTAAAATCCACCCACCACCCACTCACACACACACACTCGCGGAGAGCCGTTGGCGCTTTGCACCTTGGCGTTGCAAAAGGGAAAACTTTTTATTCAGTTTTCCACTCGCGCTTTCCTTGCCCCGAAGCCTCATCCTTAATGCGGCGAAAATGTTAAAACAAACAAACAAATAAATTAGTGTTCAATCAGCGTAATTTCTTCGACTATGCAGTCTGGTTGCCACACCCCCAAGTGAGTCCTTGCAGAGAGAGAAATTTTGAGGTATCTTAAGGGCATAATCTAAGGAAGATATCTATCTGTAAGGTACCATTAAGAAGACAACATGGTACTTTAAGATCGATGTTTACTTAAAAAACAAAATCTATAAAATCTTAAATCAATTTTAAAATATAAAAAAAAGACACTTTTAATTAATTAATATTTTATTTACAGTGTAAGGATACTCAGCCAAGCATGTTTGCCTTTTGTCTTAGGGCCTGATATGCGATTGTAACTTTGGTTTCAATTGCAATCCAAGACGGCACGAGGTCGTATTTGGGGGCGGTGGGTTGTATGCAAGTCCCTGTACAAACTTTGCACCCTTTGCAGTTAGTTGTAAGTAATTAAGCGAAGAAGCACAACAAGGACGACGAGGACACCAGGGGGAGCAAGGACTATAAAAAGAAGTAGCAAACAAACGAAATTTTCGGTAATTTGCTTAATTTGAATTCGAATGGAGGCAGCGATAGGAACGGAGCTGATTCAAATCCAGCAAGGGGGTTTTATGGGAAAATAAATGGAAATAAATTATTTTAAAGACATTAAGTAGTTTGTTATTATAGGAGGAGGAAGTGACAAGCTACAAAATACTACTCCTGCACTGCTTGACTTGCAAACATTGCACTGCTTGCCAGACTACTAATAATACTACTCTTCCTATCGTTAATGTTTCTACTACTACTGCTACTACTAATGCTTTTACTAAAAATACTCATTAAGAATCATAATCATTATAAGCTTTTAAACTTTAAAAATAACTAAAAAAAATATTAAGGCTGTAAAAAAAACATCTCTTAGTTAATCATCGTTGTATTTAATATATTTTTTTTTCAGTTGGGCTAATATTTATTCTTAGAACCCTTCCCACTCCTCAGGAAACCCCCTTTTAAAAGTGGGAACACTTTTTTAAAGACATTGTAGCGATAAAATATCTCGCATCTTTCACTCGAACATAAACTCTCTGAGCAGCTCATGAGATACAAAATCCGCATAGCGGTTGAGTGGTAAACTTATCTATTCGATAAATAGGGGGATTCCAAGTGAGTCATAACCACAGGGAGAAAAGATATAATTTTGTATTATTTTATTTAAATGCTAGAATACCTCCATCTTTAGATATTCTAGTCTAGATTGCTATAGATACATTTTTGTTTTGCCTTACTAGATATTATTTTTCTTTCAGTGCATGACACCCACGCATTTTCTCCAGCGATCTCTCTCTCTCTCTTTGGTTGGCGGTTAAGAGAGATATATTTATCATTTTGGGGAGCTGTGTGGTCTTGGGGAGCTGTGGAGCTGACTCAGATTGCAATAACCGGAGAAACACGAAAAAGACGTCACCGTTGCGTTGAGCTCACGATGATCCGATTTGGAATTCTGATCTCCCACTCGTGGCCCCTTTTCCCCCTCCTGGCTCTCGCCAGTGCGTCAAACTGGTTTGGCTTTTGGTTTTTGGCACGGATCGGCGTGACTTTTGCTTTATTTATGCCAATTTATATGCATTCGCCGGTCTCTGGGTGATCGCGTGCGCAGAAATTATGGTCTTAATCTTGCCGTTATTTCTAATTAGATCAGGGTGGGACTTCTGGTGCATGCTTTCTCCTTCTAACAATTGCCCCGGTCGTCCAGGCCCCTGGGTTATGCTGCCAGTTGGCGAGCCAATCCCTGTGCCCGTTTCTCAGTCGAGATCTTTTCATTTGGCGACCTCCTTTTCCTTTTTCTTAAAGTTTTTTTTTTTTTTTGTTTTCGCTACCGGTTACACACCCTGTCCAAAAGCCTTGAAACACGTTCTTGAGCTGGAAACGGCAGGGATTGGAACGGGGATCAGGAAGGGGTGGGGCAAGCACTGATCGGTGTGGGGTGAGTGGCGGAACAAGGAACAGGCGCAAAAGGTGTATCACAAACGAGAAGCAAACCCGTTTCAATGCCGGCTCTGGCCCTGGCTATGGCTCTGGCTCTGGCTTGGGCTCCCCAAAAACTGATTTACCTATACTATTTAACACACCGGGCACGAGCACTCGAAGAAAAATGGACTCACAGCATCAACAGTGAGAGAAAAAGGGGGTATCTAAGTCTAAAAGATATCTGGGTTTTAATATTCAAGATATCTTTCTTCCATACTTTATAGATATTCAAACTTCATAAATAAAATTCAAATAAAATACAAATATAGATACAAGATAGTTCAAGGTAGAGATGATAGATTAAGATAGAAGATTTAAAAATAAGTACCCTATTTTATATGTATTTTTTAATTTTATTTCCTCTATTTAAGTATCTATAAGAACTTATACTATTTTTTCTCTGAATCGATCTCGAAAACCTTACTTTTGTGTACTTTAGCCACTCGCCTTTACGCTACCCGCCTACCGGCAGGCCCTCCTCCTGCTCCCGCAGCTTCCAACCTCGATTCCCAAACTTCAGCTTGGTCAGCAGAGCAGCAGCTGAGTCGGCGGCGACGTCTGCGCAACTTTTGATTTTGCCTGGAACCGGTTTTGAACGGCGATCCAGTGCGAGTATCTTTCGGCTCGCATTTTGTATCTGTATCTGTATCTGTATTGCAGACGCAGGCTGCCCACAAGGCTGCTGCAGCCACCCGATAAATGTGTTGTTAATGATGTTTTCAAGATGTGCTCCAGTGGGCGTTTTGGTTACCAAGAAAAAAAGATGTCATTTGAAGATAATTTCTATAAGTAGAAAGATGAAAGATCTTGAATAAAAAACTAAACTATGATCATTTCGGGGTCGTTGAATGACAGTATTTATTATGATGGATCTGGTTGGTACTAAATTCCATTAGTATGCATGTTTATCAATTAGCCAGCTTTGGATTTTATTAATTATACATATTTTGCCACTCTCTTAAACATTTCAAAGTTGGCAATATTTGTATTATTTGTGTTTGTGACACACCGCCCATACACTCCACTCATTGTTGTAATCCATTGTCCATAATTGACGACCTGAAACCTTTCACTTGCGTATGTATGTACCTCCGACGGCATCCCCCCTGGGCCCCCGGATGATTTTGTTCATAAACTCCGATATCGGATCGTTTAAAAATAGTAAACTCACACACACAAGCATCTTCTAATGGTCTTCTAATAATAAGCCAGCCAGATACACATAGTGTGGAGCTAAAATCATTGCGGGGGCGTTTCTAGTCGGGTCGCTCTCTCCATAACCCCTCCACCGCTCCATTAATAGTGTATCTGGCTTTCACATGCCTGGTTCTCCTTCAGCTTCATTTCTCGTTCTTGCAATCGCTTACATTCACTTTTTATTACAATTAACCTACACACACACATTGAGAGCTCCATTGAGCCCACATTTGGGTGTACTAGTACAAAGTCCTCCCTCCAATACTTTTAATTGCCATGTGGGGGGTGGTGATGTTAACATGTTTTTAGGTTTTTTTGGTTTTCGATTCTGCTGCCAAAAAAAAATCCAAAAAGAACATGTTAAATTAATGACATAGAAATGTCAAGAAGACTCTTGGCTCTGAGACTCTGTGCGTTACATTTTTCTATTTCTGGCCCTGCATTTTGGGTATATACTATACACATAAGCTATATATGTATATGCCGTTATGGATGATGCATTTACGTAAATGATTTAGAACATATTGAACACATTCTGAAGGTGACATTGACAGAGCGAGAAAAGTTCTAATTTATAGAGTTTCTATAAAAAAAATCTTAGATATCTTATGCATCCATATTGTTTAAATATAAAATTTATTATCTGCCTCGATGAATGCAAATTGGCCCGAAAAGTCGAAATATAATTAATACAAGTTGCTAGCCGGCTTTATGTTCCGCAACCTACGGCAAAAAAAAAGCTAAACTGTCTGACTACTTTTGGCCAGTTAACCTTTTAGTTGATTGTCAACTCGCCCACTCCCCCTGGCGCCCCTCCAGACCCCTCCAGAAACAGAAAAAAATACAAATAAAAACAAAAGAAAATCCCCCCCTTCTTGAAACCACTCGAGGCGCCAAGAAACTCCAATTGAGATAATCCAATAAGAGGGAGCACATTTTCAGAAGAGAGAAAGTCGAGTCCAATACTCACCACTCTCTTTGAGTCAGAGAGATGGAGAGAGTGTCGAGTAACTTTTTGGTGGTGAATTTGAATTTTGAGTTTCCACTAAGCCGCCAAACATTTTCTTGGGGTTTGATTTGGGTGGAAATATTATTTTAAAAAGAGGGTTTATTTAAAAAATCTATATATTTTACTAATAAAACCTACCTATTTTTAAATAAAACTTTAACATTTAAATTGTTTACCTCAAAACAAGTCAAAACAAATCGCTCTTTTCGGTGAGTTTTTGAGTGTCTTTCTCTGGCAATCTCTATCTCTAATTGAGCCAACTGCAGTGTATTTATTAACCGGTAACTTTAACAGGGTAATGATATTAACCGGGTATAGGGATAATAATAAAGATATTGGTATTATAAGGATAAAAAAAAAAACAAAACTCAAAACAAAGCCAACATGACTCAATGGCCCTATAAAAAATAACGGAACTTCCGAATCCAAATCCAACCAAAAGATACGAAAATATCTGTAGGATAGCCTAAACAAATATCCATTAGTATAGTGGGATATTTGATCCTAAAACCCAAAAAAACCGATCGAGTAAGAATGTATCTTCGTCTTCCTAGTGCTTGGTGGTGGAACGATTCTCAAATGAGTTATTGAGCAAGAGCGCGCGTATCTGAGTGAAATTTGTATCTGAATTTTTGCTCTCTGGACTCAAGCTTTCGCTCACCGAGTATGAGATTGTTTTGGTGTCGTATTTAAGAGATACATTTAGAGCGCACTTGCCATTTGCTGTTCGGCGCTCGCGCGTATTTGTAGGAAGTACCTCCGAGTTTTGTTGGCCAGAAGTGCTACACAACTGAAGCATTCTACCAATTGAATCGTCTACTTAACCGTACTCCTCAGGTCAAAGCAAAAATAGGTGTTCAATTAACGCGTAACAGTGAGCCGCCGGCAAGAAATAAACGTAAAAAAAAAAAAATTAAGATTATTATTTGAAAAATCGAGCGTTTCTGCCGGAAAAATTATTAGCAGCGCTAAGCGAAGAAAATTTTTTGCCCAGTCACCGCAAAACGATTTCTGCAAACGCCGCCAAGAAGTAATTACAATAATTTCCAGCGAATTGTGCAACCAAACAACAACAACATTTTTCAAAAAACGCGCCAAACAAGCAAAATACATTTAAAAATTCAAAAAAAATTTACCAAAAAAAAAAACAGTGTTGAAACGCATTCTATCGAAGTTCCGGAATATCGGAAATACTTGTCTGATAAACAACAACAATCAGTTTTTGACAGCCGCGTGTGTGCCGGTGTGTGTGAGTGTATCGGTGTGTGTGTGTCTGTCTGCTTTTGACAGATAAAAGTTGTCGCAGGAGAGTCGTTCGGCCGATACGTACAAGCCAGAAAATTTATTAAAAAATAAAATATAGTGCAAGCCAGGCCGCAGAGAAAAGTCCATTGTTTTTGCCGGCAACGTTAATGACGTCACGTCGTGCCACGGCCAGCATTAAAGCCAACAACAACAGCAACCGCAGTATAGCGCGTGTTTAGCAACAGCAACAACAATAAAAGAGGTTAAAAATACATTACTACGGCCAAGTTGAGGAAGGAGTCAAGACGGGCAGCAGCTTCAACAACTTTACCAACAACCAGAAGCAGCACCAGCAACAGCAACAACAAACAGCAAGTCAGCTGGACAACCGAAGGTGTTTATACCAAAAAGATTGTTGGTTTTTTGTTTTTTTGTTCACTCTTCTCCACTCCACTTCTATTTTTGTTTAATTTTGTTTTTCTCTCTCTCTTTTTTTGCGCCTCAATCTTAAAACTCAACTTAAGTTTTTTTCTCTTCCCATTCCCCATCTTGGGGGCCCCACAGTCTGTGGTTTTGTTTGTTTTTGTTGTCGAAATTTTGGGAGCTGGCGAGTGAAAAGACGGAAATTCTTGGTTTTACTGTAGGAAAACGGTCATTATTTAGGGAAAGTTATTTTGGCCAAGTCAAGAAAAAGTAGGCAACAACAAAATTATGACATTTTCAAACATATGACTTTGATTTTTAATAGCAATCTGTTAATAAAAAAAAACTTGCTTAATCTGCTAAAATAAAGCACTGAGAGGCTTAATAGCCCAAAAATCAAATTGAAATTGAGGCTAATGAACTGTGAAATAATAATTAAAATTCCACAAATTGCCAAAACCGAAATTCGTCAGTGAATTATTGGCATTTTCACATACACACATATAATTTGTGGCAGCAGCCTCTAGGAATATAGCCTTTATATAGTATTTATTTTCAATATATTGTGTTAATTAACTGTGTTAGAAAAACCGTGTACAATTGTAATGCAAATTTAGCAATTTTTATTCTAATACCGGTTAAGGCCTAGGCCACGAAAATAAACAAAAATCCAAGCCACATGTGATTACAGTCAGTTTCATTACCATTATAGACAGTGAAATAATGAATATATACCCCGAAACACTCTATAATTGAATTAATAGCCTAAATAAATTGTTTTCATAGCTCCTCGAGCTACATTAATGACTTCAGACTGTGGAACTGGGAATAATGTGATTACTTTCTTGAACGAAACTGATTCAATGATCTGTTTAAGAAATTAGTTTTATTTTTTATTCGAGACTTGGCAGTTGGCACTTCTGTAACGCAGTGTAGTTTTAAAGTTTTCGTAGCAAAGTCACGTTTTTTATGCGATTCCGTCTGCTAACTCCACCCAATGGCCCATTAAATTGATGTTTATTTTGAGTTTCAGCTGCAAAATAAGATTGTTATTATAATTTTCCAGATTTGTTACATTTTCCCTCTGGTTGAGATATGCAAATTGAATTAGCTCTGCCTAGAAACTCTGACACATTTCGCTATTTTTCAGAGCATCGACAAAAGTGTCAAAAATTTGTTGCTGCAAAAATATGAGTCAAAGAAATCGTTTGGAAAATGCCAAAATGAATTGTTATTTCTGTCCATTTGCCCAACACACTCTGTCAAGTCATTCACTTTTTCACTGCTCCCCACATCTTTACTCAAAAGAAAAAAAACAAAAAAACCTTAAACTAAAAATGCCACGAAAGGCTGAAAGACTTTATGCCCCAAAGATGAATTTTTTTTTTGTTGTTGAAGGAGAATGGGACGCGGATGGAAACTTGAGGACTGCTGGCATGACTAATCGATTCGATTTTTCGCCAAAAGTCATGCCGCAAAAAAAAATAGTCGTTGTATGTGTGTTTGACTTGTAGTACGAGTGTTTTGTGCTTTAAGCTCTTCTCAATAGGTCGTAAATATTGGAAGAAACCCACAATCCCCCGCTCCGGGTGTCGAAAGTGTGGAAAAATCACTGTTTATTTGCGATTTAAGTTTGATGAGAGATGACAGCCCTCGAAAAAAGGTGACCGAGTTCAAACGAAAGGTACTCCGTACATATGCAAAAGGTCTCTCTTAACCTGAGACAATACAAAGCGAACTATTCATAGGAAAACATTTCCATTAACACCAGGAAATCTATTGAAATTTCCATTTCCAGAGGCTGCTGTTTTATATCTCGAGTCGATTTTTTGCATATAAACATTTTGGTTTCCTTTTCTAAGATTTTAGTTCTCCCATTTTCTGGTTTTCATCTTTATTTTTTTTGATATTTTGAAACATGTGCTCGTGTCTTTTCCTTTTCTAAAAATATCCAAACTTTTTCTCGCCTGCGTTTAGTTTTCTATATTTTTTGTATTTTTGTGTTTTGGCTTTTTTCAATAAGCTGGGGAGCAGCTGCTGCTGGCAGAGACGTTGGCAGAGCCAGCAAACAAGTCGAAAAGAAAGAAGAAAACAAAAAACAAACAATATCTATGTATCTTGTATCTGTTTTTGGGAGAATTTAGAAGAGCAGGGTGACCCAAACTGGCTGGAACCGAAAACGCTTTCGTCACAGAATCTCTCACAGAAACCTGAAGAACAGTAGTAGAAGCTTTTATTTCCTCAAGATACTTATTTAGGATTTCAAATAGTTTTTAAATTTGATTCAAAAACAGATTCCAGAAAGCTGTGTCACACCCTGTCTCGGCTCTTCTCCAAGCACATGCCAAAACGCAACAGAACCGAAAAAGAAATTTTTGAACGTGTTTCGTCGGTTGTTCTGGTGTTGTTGCTCGAGTATCTCTGGCATCTCCCATAACAAGCGACAGCTGCCGCACATTTTGGATGTATCTGCAGCTGTGCATCCACACAGGCGCAGGTATACCCGCACACAGATACAAAGATATTCGGATATATACATAGATACAACATTCTCCTCCCTCCCATTCTACCGCCCACTTTTTGGCAGCATTTTGGAAACTGCGGCGTTGCAGTCCAAAAATAAGTCCCTATTTTCCTCACATGCATCGAGATTGTGTGGCAGAGAGGCCAAGTTAACGCTTTTGAGTAATACTGCCTGTCTGTCTGTCTTTAACCCTTGACTGGCCCTACGGCCGACGCACAATTGAGATCAATTGGTCGCTGAATTGATTGTTTAACCTTTCGAGGCGTGTCTGCAATGCGATTATGTCGACCAATTAGTTCAAAGATTAACTCAATTTTTGAGGAATTTTTAAATGCCTCTCACTCTCAGTCTCAGTCCGAGTCACTCGCAGACGCTAAATATAAACAAAATTAAGTTTTGCCAGAAAAAATTAATTAGGCACAGAAATCTATGAAATTCGTAGTGCTTCCTCTTGCCCCAAGAGGACTGTGTGTCGGTATTCGTAATTTGTATTTCAATCTTTGTGTGTGGCGCTCTCGTATTTATAAGATAAGCAAAAGTTTATGAATATGCCGAAAAATAGTATATGAGAGCAATGGAGCGACCGAGAGCCCCAAGATTGGCGGCGAGCCTCGCTCCCAATATATGAATTTGTTTTTTGTTTTATGTTTTTGGTTTCCCTCACTCGCCTCTATTTTTTCGGCTTCCTCTCTCTTTCGTTTCGTTTTTATATAGATTTCCGACCTCTGACGTAATTACTGGTGATCGCGTTTTACGTCCAAAGAAATTGATTTGTGCTTGTGTGAACCAAAAATTTGAATATGAATCCGCCAGATACACAAACGTGACAGTCAATAGATTCAATAGGGCCGAGATCAGGTGGAAAAGTGGAAGCTGTGACCGGGACTGGGACTGGGGCAAGGTTTTCAATGAAATCGAAAATTTGAATCAAAGATGACGTATCTTTTCAAAAGTATCATTATCTCGAGAGCGATCCACAAGCTCTTCCTTATCGAATCCGTTTATTTACTCTTGCGGCACGCTTTGTTTTTCCCTCCAACCATTAGTCATAATTATAAAACCATATATAGACCGATCGTCGGATCTTTTTAGCACCAATTCGAAAGCCTCGCCACATTATTTAACCCCGCCTTATAAGGGACAGTAGCCCGAAAGATGCAATCTTCAGTGAATATAAATGTATTTCTTTTATCTAAAAGACAACTTTCGAAAAGATTTCACAAAAAAAGAGCACTAATAGCTGTCAATGAAATCAGTCAGCGATGTGTCTCCAAAAGTTAAGATAAATCTAAAAAGAGGAAAGCAGAAAAAAAGATAAACATTTGCTGCCCACGCATCGTGTACTGCCAAATTAATTAGCCAAGTCAGATGGATGACAATGAGAATTAATTAGCCAAGTCAAAACTCTATTTTTGGAGCAGTTTTTTCGGCTGGAAGAATGAGCCAAAATGAAGCTGTCGCTTCTTAGACAACCCACCTGCATGACATAATCCCAAGCGACCCGAACATTTAACCGATCACCATATATAGCTGACATTTAAGACTTGTCTTAAAAAATGGTTTTTGTTAAGGTTCGTTTAAAGACAGTAAAGATTTCCCTCCACTATAAGTTCCACGTTGCTTGTAATTTTGCAAAATATTATATAGAGTATAGGGTGATTCTCTGTTTTATCTAATCGCATTTATTGATAGCAGCCCCACAACTTCCACTTTCTGCACTATCTGGTTTTCACCCATTTCTTTCACTTTTTTTTTATGGGCGCATCGTTGAATATATGTGTCATACCTCCGGGGTGAGCCCTGAGTCTTTATTCATACAAACATATACATATATATCTTTTGTTGGCCGTGTTAGAGGAGCGTTGTATAATGTTGCAGAGCCACCGCCGTGGAGCGGTTACTGACCGATGTCTTGCTACGGCTTCGCTTGCGTAAATGTTTCTTTAAATGCATTAACTTGTCGCCCGCGGGGCAGGAGCTCAAAAGTCTGGTGTGCTGCTGTTGTTTTGGCCCTCTCCGGTGTTTCAAGCGGATTGTGTTGTATGGCTTTAGTCATCATAACTTTGGCCCGCACGGGTTAACTTCGCCGTGAGCCGTGAGTCGGCGCTCGGCCGCTCCAGTTGATATAGTCGCAATTCTTTATGACTTTCTGTATATCTAAAAAAAGCGAAAAAAAACATACTGCAAATACAATATATATGAGCCCACATATATGCACTTTCACAGGCAACTGTTAAACGACTGCGTTCTAGTTGTTAGGTTTGGTCGTCTTATCAGCGGAACGCTCTCGATTTGGTCGGTATGTCAGTGGTTGTAGTTTCACGTAATGTGGGACATGGGGCATACATATGTGTTGGGGGAAAATGGATGGGTGGATAAGTTATTGGGGGCTGAAAATTGATAGGGCTGGGTACTGGGTGCGAAATGAATCGATATGTGCTCTAGATAAAAAGAGCTACCACCAAGCCCGCACAATATCAGTTCATGCAAATTAGATTGGCGGACAAAAAACCCAAACTTTTTCACCTAAAATACATATTTGTGTCAGCTGTCTTTAAAGAGTTATAATCCAACCATTTCTACAATAATTTGATAATCTAATCTATTTAATTATCATTTAATAGATTTTGTTATCAAACCAAACAAACGTATTCGTATTTTCGAAATAATTTATATGAACCATTAAATTTGAACTTCATGGAAATCCTTTATTACTCATTTAAGTTGAAATCATAATATTACATTAACTTCTAAAGACATTTCCTGCTCTGAATGTTATCAAGAATTTAGTTAATGTGGAAACACCCATTTTGGGTTGAGAATATTAGTCCCAGATGCAACAGTAATTGCCCAAAAATTTATACATTTTATTTTTAATAGCACAGCTGCTTTTGGGTGTTGACTCAGCTTACATAAACATCCAGTGGAAGCTGAGTATGAAATGCGAATGTGAACAAATATTTAGTGGGCTTGCGTTAACAATTTTAGGAAATTAACAGTTTTTTAATCTTCACTCTCTCCGGGGGCTTCTGGTCGCAATGATTCTCCGGGCTTTCGGTTTTTGTCAGACTAATTCAACCTTCAAAAAAACACTTTTTGATACGAGACCAAAAAACCAGAAAGAAAAGAAAACAAAACCTACGATCAAAACTTGTTGAACTTGTTTTTCGTTTGGGGCCTGGGTCCGCATCAATTTGCATCGTTTTTTTGTCCGGCGGTTATGTATTTTTTTTCACTTAATGATTTTTTAATAACCCCAAAAATCGCCAAGACGAGTGTATCCTTCTGTCTGAAAGCGGGCTGAAGGTTGCTTGTAGGTCAGCGGATGCATCGATCTGCGGATTATATGTAGATATATGCCCACACAGCACGTCCATATCGTGGCGGAATGATGGCAGGAGAGCCTTCGATTATTCTTGGCCCAATTTCACGTCTAAACACTATTCGGAAGTTTATTTTCGTGCAGCATTTTCCACACCCGCTTCTGACCATAAATTTTCGTACTGCGTCAATGACACGGCTGCTAATTTTCTGTAGCCGTTTCGATTTCGATTTCTGTGCCTGTGCCTGTATCTGAATCCGTTCCGTAGCTGTTGGCCATAATAGCTTCTATATATTTATTTTTCTATATCGCCTATAGCCATAGACTGATGCCCCAGCCACGTCCGCTTGTGTGGGCGTCCCGTACCGTCCCGTCTGTTTCAGTTTCAGTTGCGTGTTCTTCATTTTTCCGTGTGTAAAAAGATTTTTTGGTTTTAGCCGAAAAAGTTTTCAAGAATTATTTTAATACATGCCATAAACATTAGCCCACACACACACACTCAGACTCAGTCATTCATGATGGGGCTTCAATTTCTCAGCTCATAAATTAAGTTAGAATTTATATCTTTGGAAATCAAGTTGAAATACGGAAAAGCAATTTGCAGCTGACATCATGCGGACGTATCCACAAATCCATATACTAACAAAAATTATAGATACCCACACACAAGTCTGTTGTGGTGTGTATATATACTCCATAAAGTTCATTAATTGTCTTTTCTGGTATCTTTTCAAATTGACTCGACTGAGATAATGTTGTGTCTATATGTGGTGGCGATATCTTTTGAAATTCCACCCGCTAGATACGCAGTTTGTGGATTATTTTGGAAATTATTAATGATAAACTTATAGTTGCAAAATAATCACACTATTTATCATACATATATATTTTTGTGGTTTTCAACTGAGAAATAAATAAAAACAAAGTCCGCAAAGCTCTAATAGATTTCTTTTTCGAAAAACTTTGATTCATTTGCCGTTGCAGTGATAAGATAAGATTAAAAACACACACACCTCCCCATTCTAAATATATAGAGGCACTAAATAACGATAAAACTCAACAAAAACAAAAAAACAAACTCAATGCTAATAAAAAAAAAAACGAAATATTAATATCACATTGTGTGCCGTCATCGATGATTGAATCATTACGAAATTCATATTCACATTTCTCCTCGATATGCCAACTCTAATGTCTCACCCAGTTATTTGATGCATTTAATTTATTTATATTCCATATATGTATGTATGTATAACGATTTTTTTTCAGTACTTAGTAATGCCCAAAAATAATATTTAATATTCCGTAAGAGCGGTAAGTGCGTTTATAAATTTATTCTCCTCTGCTATAAAAAGAAATTTGCAAACTGTGAGATAGAATACGATTCTCTTGGGCGGTGTCTCTCTCTTAAATGTTGCTTTGGCTAAAATTTTAAATCAAATAATTTATTTACCAAAATACCTAAACTGCTAAAACACCGCTGGGCTGGACATGGAGATACACGAGTAATATACAGTATACATATGTATCTCTGCGAATACTTAGTGCACTTTAGTTGATAATATTTATTCGTAGTATTAATTTTTATTTGGTCTATGTGCATTGCGCTGAATTGCTGATTTAGGGGCTAGGCTTTATGGCTATCAGGCTATATGGCTATTAGCTCTTGGCTGTCGGATCTTGGCTATATCCCCGCGCCCCTCCAGCAAGCTGCAAACTGGACGCCAATCGCTGCTCACGCTCTATATATAAAACGACCGGATATATCTCTGTGTATATGTCTGGTGAAACTATTTTTAGTGACTATATCATAAGTTGTATGAACGAGAAATTTTATTTTGCACACCATTCGCTCATTTATCCTAGGAACTATACATACATATACCTAATAGTCTATATACTGGATATGTCTGTCGACTGTCTTTTGTTTGTCTTATCATTTGAGCATTGCATTTCTGCATAAACCACCATAACTCAACCGATTTGCGCATTACTAACCCCGAAAATATATATCAACATGATCAGTTTCCACATCACGCATTTATATTTAGAGTCGCTCTGTCTCTCTCTCTCTTTATATATCTATCTCTCTTGCTCTGTTTACTATCTGTCCCTGTCTTTCGCCATTTTATTTTTTTTTTCTGTCTTGGACTTTAAACCAAGTTGGTATGATCCTAAAGTTCTATTCTCTCTTTTATTCTCATTTCAGATAATGTAAAATCAGCTTACACACAAAAAAAAAGCAGTTAAATAAAAGCAAAAAAATTAATAACTGCGTCTATCTATAGATCTATAAAAAAACACACACACACATCTATATATAAATATTATAAATAAGCGTTCGATTTGAATCAAAATTAAAGCCCAAGCTATCAGCTATCCCCACAAGCTTTGTAATCCAAAAAACGCTAAAGAACAAATCGATAAAACTGAAATCATACCATCTACTATAGATGCTATATGCTATATAATTATATAGGTGCTGATCTGTGCTCTCTTGAATCTTAGTGTTTTTTGTGTGTGTGCGTGTCGCGGACAAGAGAAGATTTGCAAACAAAAACATTTTCTAGTCGCTAGGCTATATACAAAAAAAAAACTATACAAAATCCAGCTAACCCAGATCCGAATAGCTATATCTGTATAACCCCGATATACACACGATGGCCAACGTTGTCAATATGAACAGCCTGCTGAACGGCAAGGATTCGCGCTGGCTGCAACTGGAGGTCTGTCGCGAATTCCAGCGCAACAAATGCTCGCGCCAGGACACCGAATGCAAGTTCGCCCATCCCCCCGCCAATGTGGAGGTCCAGAACGGCAAGGTCACCGCCTGCTACGACAGCATCAAGGTCAGTATTCCCCAAAAAATAGACCAAAAAAAAAAAAAAGACCCACCACTCCCCCAAATACCACACCAATCCTCTATTGCTTCGTGTGACTCGTAGACCGTAAGCTTCCAGTCTTTTGATTTCTCATCCCACAATATATTATATAATCCTAAGATAAAACCAGTACCAACTCCCCCCCGCCTCCGAATTAGGGCCTCGACGAAAACTGATCTTGTCTCGCTTTTGTTGTTTGTGCTTCTGTGCTTTTATGAACTCCATTTTGTTTTGGTATCTCTGTGCTTCTATATATCTTTAATACACACTTTACCTAGTGGCTGTCTCTCTAAGTGCCTATCAAATATACATAATATATATCTTTAAAAAAAATGATATAAATAATGCAGCTGAAGCGCCGGGCTGTGCTTGAGAGCGCTGAGGCTTCGATTTAAAAAATTAAATCTTAGTTGTTGTGTGTGCGCGTGAGTGTGCTTGAAGCTTGAGTCTTGGGTCCCGAGTAGAAGGCTTTAGCTTTTGGCTTACAAATAAGAGAGTTCCACCACCAATCGATAGCTAGATTATCAGATTATCAGATATCCTGGGAAAACCATCAAAAATTACTGCTAATCAACCAATTGAATCGATTTATAAAAAAACAAAAGAAATAACTGAAATTCTTGTCACCGTTCGAGTGAATTTTAGGCTACACAACTCTTAGACATGGACGACTTCAAGGTAAAGCCCTTTTTAATTAAATAATTAATATAAGAACTTAGCTTTAAGAGAAACGAATACCTTTGTTGATCTTTTCGTAACGTCCTGACCAAAAAAAAAGTATCCTGCCAAATGAGAGGCAAAGAGGATTCTATTTTCAATGAATTTTTTCAGGAATCTGTAAACGAAAAAAAAAAGGCAACGCGGAAAATTAGTAGGGTCGATACAAAAGGGTGAAAGGAGCTCTGCTTTCACAGGACAATGGCCAAACGAGAACTTGCAACACAAAAAATTGAGCTGCCTATTTGGTGTTTTTTTGTGGAAGGAAGCTTTTTGTTTTTACCCGCAACAAACAAACAACTGCCAAAGAATGGCAACATAAAGTGGAGTATTTATGTATACTACATAATGCTGACAAAATGCCATCATCATCATCATCAGTGGCAAGAGCAGGACTAGGAGATGGGACAGGAGCTTGGTGGCACAGCTTCACCATCAAATTTGTGACAGCATAAAAAATTACGTTTTGAAAATTTTCGTCGCCGGTTTTAGGCGTTGCTCGCCAGCCGCTTGTTTGGCCAACGGTCCTTTGTTATTTCAACAAAAACCCAAAGCGAGTCGGTCCTTAAAGTTGGGCATAGTTCGTCCTTTTCGCCCCAGCTTTCCCCAGCTGTCGCTCTTGAGTCGAGTGTGCAAACAATAGTTAAAACTGATGTTTTGTAAAGTAGCTCGTTGCCTTTTTTCTTTGGGCTTAGAGGAGGTGAGTAGGCGTTGTTAATTGAGCCACTGGATGCTTTAGGAAGGTCCTGGCTCACAAGGATATTTGCTTATCAGTCCTTCATAGTTGATTATCTTTATTAAGATGGCTATCCGAGTGGCTGAGCTAGTTACTCAAAAAATATCTGAATTATTTCTGAATTTATTCAGTAAGAATCTTCGGTAAAGTCAGCCCGAACATTTCCAATTATCTTTGATGGATCATTAGGAACGGGTCAGTTTTGGGCTAAAGTTTTTCCCCAATGTCATGAAAATCTCATAAGCCTTTGGCAATTATCCGAGACCACAGCTGCGTGATAAGCGAGTTTTGGCTGAAGGATCCGGTATCCTGAAAAAGCGGCACCAGCTGCAAGCTGGAAATGGAAATGGAATAACCCCACACACAGGCACATAGTATCCTACCCAGTGACCCTTGGGCGCTTGTAGTTTTTGCCTGGCTGGACGGGCAAATAAAGCTCAGACATTCATTGCCCACAAATTAATTGTGTTATCCTATTAATTAACTATGCAGTAAAGTTGCCGAGCAATTTCGTTCGCCGAGCGTTCTGCTTTCTCCCCAGCATTTCCCTTTTATTCCAACTTTTTTTTTTTTACCTCTTTTGAGTGCTGTAATTGTAGGCGAGTGTGTTTGCACTCATTTTCACCTCTTTTTGTCCCCTCCGAGTTATACCATGGGGTATACTATACTTTAGTACCGGGTGTGTGTGTGCTTGACACACAAAACGACCTGGGCTTAAATGTTTAACGAACTTAAGCGTGGCAAGTAACCAGCATGTAGTATATATTTATAATGGCCGCCAGTTCGAGGACGAAAGGCCTATGTACGAGTCCTTAGCACTCTCTCTCGGTGTGTGTGTTTAAACTTTTTTTTTTCTCAGCGGCCGCGACACTAATTTATTGCTAGGTTGCCGCAGTATATACTTTCAAATGCCATATCCCCACAAAGAACAAACTATACTCGCAATTGGGTCAATGTTTAGGGGTTTTATAAGCGAGATATAGTTTTTCAAATGTAGTTCTCCAAACTGTCATCATAGTCCAATAGCTCTTAGTTCAGCAGAGCGTTTCTTTTTTCGCTTAGTGACCCCTGACCCTTTTGGCCAAAATTGGCATCATTTCATTGGCAATTTCCCCTCAATTTAATTTGGCCACAATGAGCCGGCTGAAACTTTAAAAGCCACTCGGGAAGCGACCCAGAGCGAAATAAAGGGATCCGCTGGATAAAGAGTGAAAGTGAGAATAGCAAAGGGGGGGTTTCGGGAAAGAGAAAAATCGCATAGCCACAACATAAAACATTTTCCGGTTTATAATTTTCTTGTCAACACAATTTTCACGCCATGCACTGGCGCTGTGCAATGGCCACGGTGGAAAGTCGGTCCCTTCTCTCCCGATCTGTATTTTTCTTCCCTTTTTATACTCAGGCCCCCCTTCCTGAGAGTTTTTCTGGGCTGCCGGTCGACTGGTGGTGCCACTTTATCCGGCGTCCTTTCGCCGCTTCGCGCGCTTTTGCTACTTAACCAACTGTAAAGCTCTCGGCCATATTGTGTGGCACCTTATTTTTCTATTATATTCCCAACACTGCCACTGGAACATATTTTCCGCGTCCCCCCCCCCTCCCCCTTCCCCATTTGGTGGCGGCAACAAAAGTCAAGTTCCCATGCCATGCAAATTATGGTCGAAAAGGCGAAAAGAATGAAAGAAAATGGCGCCCCGCAAAAAGAAAATGAAAATGGCAACTCTTCCGCTTAAAAAAGTGTGTGTGTGTCAGAGACACTCTCATACACACATATTTCTCTCTCTATATATATATCCAAGGATTGAAAACAAAGGAGACTACTTTGACATCTTTGGTCTTTGTGGCTCCTCGGGGGCTTTCCGCTCTTGTTTATTCCAATTTTGTAGTTGACGCTTGAATTTCCGCGCCCCGAGCCTCCTCGGAAATACTTTGGTAATTAAATTTTAAAGACAACAGGATGCTAGAAAAAAAAAGACTGAACTTTTTGCACAGATTCTGCCCACTCACCCACATTACTATACATTCAATGTCATCCAATTATTTTTAATTCCATTATAAACCGTCTCTATTCTTCGTTTCTTCAATTCTTCAATTTGCCATGAAAAATTGTCGGACAGCATTGAAATCGATAATAATAAGCAGAGCAGATGGCAAAAGCAACTTAATGTACAAAATAAACCCAAAAAAAAAAGAAAAGTAAATCCAATTTAAATAAAACTTCTCAGAAAATGGGAAATATAGCGAACTGAAAGAGGAGAAGATTCTTCAATAGTTTCCCCAAAAAAAAATAGTAAAAAGCAAAATAATAGAAGCAATGGAAATGTAAAGAAATAAGTGAAAAGTTTGCGGTGAAACCTACACAATTCATTCGTCCTGTCGCCTTGCAAGAGTCTCCTTTCTCCTGGCATCCCTCTGCCGGAACGTGACTGCAAATCGAGCGGGCGAGCGCATGCCTTAAATAAAATAAATGGCACATTATCAATATAAACAAGAGGACGTCGCCGAAGGAGTCGCGTACGCGAGTTGCAAGCGTAAAGTTGTTAAGTTACTTAAGCCAACAAATGAAGCGAGCCAAGATGGAGTGAGCAAAGCGGGCCTTTACCCTCCGCCCCTTAGCTGGATTCCCAATTCCGCAGTAGCATTTCTCTCTGAGCCAGTCACGAGCCTGACAAATTGCACTTGGGCGCCAGACTACCTCCTGCCAGCCGAAAAAACTTTCCCGTTCTGACCAACAAACAAGCGCGCCTTCCCGCTCCAAGGCGCCAATTTCTTTTCATATGGCCTTTCAAGACAAAGACAATGGCAAACAAAAACTAATGCCCATTCGGGATGAATATAAATGCGAGCAAGGATTCTATTCCATTGAATTGAAAAATGTCGCAAGTTTCCGTTTCCCTGCGAGAAAGGCTAATGCAGTCGGCGACAGCAAAGTGTCAAAAGTGCATATGGAAATAGCGCCCAACAAATATATATTTTTCGCTTTTGGACCGGCAATTTCATTTCGCCGACATATTGCTGGATTATATATTCATACAAGTGCCAATCAGAAGGACGCCGACCGGAGACAGGTGACTTTTTAGGCCATCAACTTGCCTTGAGTGTTGGCCCGACTTTTCGATTGAAAAATCTGGATTATTGGATTAACTTGGAATGCTCTAATGCCAGCGAAGTTTTTAGGTATTCATGGCATTTCTTTTCGACTCAGTTTTGACGTCAGCCAAGTCATTTGAAAATTAATTAAAAGCAGCGAACAATAATGTGTAAGTAATGGCTCTTCAGTTGGGAAATAAATTTCAGCTTGACATTAAAGATTTTTCTGCGCTTTAAGCCACAACTCAGACTGCCAGACAGCTAAGCGTCAAACTTAGCGCAGAAAAAAAATATATATTGGAAAAAAAAGGAGAAACACCGACCGTTTCCAACAAAAATCGAGATCAATAAAAACGTCATTCAATTTATTTTCCATTTTTGTGGAACTCGCGAGCGAAATGAGACGTGTGTGGCAAGGAGGGAGGGA